ATCCATCCCCAAAATCACATCAAAATCCTTCATCTCTAAAGAAATCAAATCCACTAGAAAAATTCAACCATCTAACTTTGTCTCACAAGATCTACAAACATCCCCTAACACTACTGTTTCTCCTAATGGAGTAGACACATCAATACATGCATCCAAAGGCTCACAAGGAATAGACAAGCAACGTAGAAACTTAGGTGCAGCAAAAGAATGTGTGGATCCTGAATCAATTAAAACTCTGGCAGGTACAAATGATATAAGGAGTGTACCTTGCACCACAGATGGAGCAACCTCAGCCTCCTCTCTAGTGAGAGCATAAACACGTCCTTGGGTAGCTGCTGACTTCTTTTCCTGAGTCCTATTCCCGGATGTCTGACCTTGGGTAGTCCCACTTTTGCCATTATTCGGCTTCTAGTTAAACCCACAGCTATAAAAAGTTCGTCTCTGTCCTTGCCCCTGAAATGACTGTGCTATTGACTGACCTCCTAGTCCCTTAGACCTACATTGTGCAGAGAGATGCCCAGGCTTGCGACACTTAAAGCATATTCGAGCTGTGCCATCACAATTATACCTAACAGAATGTGACCTACCACATCTATCACAATTCCTCTGATTCTGCCATCTCATGCCATTGCTAACCTGACCTTGGGTGTAAGGCTTCTTGCTAGGATTGCTACCACCACCACGTTGCTCTACTTGTCTCTCTTCTCTAAGTCTCTTGTTTTGTGGTTCCTTAGCCTTTTGTTCCTCAACTCTCTTTTCCTCTTCTACTCCCCTTTCAGCTAGTAATGCCTTGCTTACCAATGCAGAATATGTCTTCATCTCCAAAATAGCTACTTTTGCATAGATCTCTAACCGCAAGTCATTCTCAAACAACAACACTCTATCTTCCTCTATGGCCACCTGATGTGGGGCATACCTCGACAACTCCGCAAACTTGGCATCATACTGAGCCACTGACATGTCATTTTGCTTCAAATTGAGAAAATCCACTTGCTTCTGCCTTCGCACCGCTTCAGGGAAATATTTCTCATTAAACAATTCTAGAAACTTGCTCCACAGTAGCTCTGTTTCTCTACCCTCATATTGACGCTTCACCATGCGCCACCAATGCTCTGCTTGACCCTTGAACCTAAAAGCTGCGAAGGCCACCTTCTGGTCTGCTGAACAACCTAGAACATCAAATATTTTCTCCATCTCTAGTACCCATGCCTCTGCCTCCATAGGGTCCACTGTTTCGTGAAATTCTGGATGTTTTGTCTTCATAAATCTCTCAAATAAGGAACCTCTATCCAAAGTTAAAGTTGGGTGAACTGCTGGTTGTGGGGCTACATGATTGTTCAGTAATCCCAACAATGACTGTAAAACCTGTGCGGCTGGTGTAGCAGGAACAACTCCTGGTGCTTTAAGGACGACTGGAGCAACAGGTGGTGCAGTAGGGGGTATAGGAACAGGGGGAACTCTACGATTAGCAGCTGGTTGATCAGTTCCAAGAGCATTGACACTTCTTCTCCTAGGTGCCATCTCTTAACCTTCAAAATGAAATTAAGAAAAGCTCAACACAAGCTTAAACAAAACTAACTTAACCAAACACTACTAAGGACTATAGGGACTCGGACCTCGTCTAAATGATGAAATGCATGATATGTAACTCGATAACTACAGCTTTGATACCACAATTGTCACACCCCAAATCCGGGCATGACCGGCCGTGGCCCACAAGGACTTAGCCCAAGGCACACGTAAGCCTAAACATGAACCCAAAATCATAAAGAATAAATGTGTTGATAGCCCAGAAATAAATAAATCAACACTCAATCCAGTGACATATCACAAGTGAAAAACAAGTCATAACCAACTTCCTAAAAACATATATATACTAAATGGAACACAAACCGCCCACAAAATAAAATAATTCTAAATAAAACCCAACCACAATGTATGCACAAAACTCGACAAAGCAACCTAAAACAAATTAAGTAAATGCCCTAGAGGTCCATGCAATTGAGTCCCCGCTACGCCATGAGTTGACTCTAAGTCCTTCTAACACCTGGAAATGGTAAACAACTAAGTCAGCTGATAGCTCAGTAAGTAGCAACATGGATAGTAAATACAGTTTTGAAAACAGGGTTCAATTCCAAAATAAGATATATATCACAGAAACTAGATTGGCATACAGTTTGGTAAATACAATCTGTTTCAAAAAAAGGTTCCACAATTCAACACTTAAAATACTCATGTCTTGCAAGAACATGATAAACGACATTTTCCACTTAAAACAGATTATAACATGAACACCAATAATTTTCTGGGTACTAATAAAAACAAATAATCTATCGCACAGTTCTCAAGCCTATAAGCCCCGTTGGATCCAATATCGAACTAAGAGTCATCCTCAGGGTGGCACCTGGGCCTTTTCTCAAAGACGATCCGATTGAAGGTCACCTAGTTATTTTTAAAGGTCTTTTCCTTACAATCGTTGAGCACTAGAGTCATCACAGCCCAACCCGGATCTGTTCCCTAGTGGCCACAGTCACCACACACAATGGAATAATTTCCCTGGACTAAATATACACATGGTCCCAATAATCAATGCACATCAGTTTCGCAAAACATGGTAGTTCATCATTATAAACATGAGACCAAAACAAATAGTTTACAATATGCCAAGTTCACATATGTTTCAAAAATAATTTGATTCAATTGATAATATAATAATTTATCAAAACAGTTTAGTCTTGAAACAACAATTTAATTTTCAAACAGTTCAGGGTAGGGGAACATTTATAAAAATACGTAGCATGAAACTACCCACCTGAAAACGAAATGGTATAATCCTCGAATAGAGTCTAAAAATCCAACTAGTGCCCTGAACCAATATGAAAACTACACGTCAATACTAATTTAAAAATACTAAAGAATACGAACTTAGTAACCCCAAACTAAAGCGCACTAACACGGCTCAACCCAACTCACCGTTACTCTTAAATATTACCTAAGTTCATGTTCTTCAAGGTCTAAAATCACCCAAGACATAGGTTCCGATCGAAACTTAACTAAAAATAACTTTAAGATAAAACAGTGTTTTAAACAAGTTTTCCTAATCTATTCGCTAAATTTGAAAATTACAAAACCCACTCCACGCTATTCAAAAAATTCTAAAACCCTCCAGATATCAACTAATATATCCTAAGTTCCAAACCCAATTGGTTTCACTTGATTTTCTTATCAAAATAATTATCTACAATTTATTATATCCAAACAGGTTGTTTTCTGCAGCACTTTAAAGAAATTGACGGTTCTCTTAATATACACGAGAAATCAATGCAAGGCCAAAAACATACGAAACTAGACTCGTAACCGTTTCTAATGACACTAATTTGATAATTTTTGGATTTATACCCAAAGAGAACAACACTTCCGAATTTACTGTTTCGGACTGGTTTCCTGGACAGATTTGAATACCTCAATTTATATGAATTTTGACTCCCAAAAATTATGAAAAAATTCTGATATGCAATTCAATATGTAGTTGATCTACTGTAAAAAGTTCAGATTAAAATTCGTCCGTTTGATATGGTTTCTTGATTTTTAAAATTTGTGACTTGGTACAGAATTTTTGGACTGAAAATTACACCCAATCTTTACTCATAAATTTAGCTCCTCAAGTTTCTTAATAGGATATCTATATACACAATACATAAACCTACAACCTGTCCATGAATGAATAAAATAATTATAGAATAAGGATGAAGAACAAAGAAAGAAGAGAAGAAAACCTAGGAGGGCTAACCTTTGATGATCACACAAAACACAACAAACCCAAAAGTTCTTTGATTGCAACATCTTCTTCTTTTTTTCCTTCTCTCTAACCCTCTCCCGTGGCTGCTGTTGTTGCCCTATGTGGTGAACAAATAATAGAGTAGGGTTTGTGTTTATTTTATTTTATACTAGTGGTGGGCACACATAGGTCAAATAAATAGATAAATATACAAAACATATGTATAAGTTATATGCAACTCAAATGGTAGGAGTCTTATATATTAACCTTGTGATCTAGAGTTCAAGTCACACCCTCCTCTCTCTCTACTTTTTTTTCTTTTTTATAATAAACCTTGTCTCTAAATTAAAGGCTTTCATCATAAATTTATTTTAGGTTTAAAAATTAATTAAAAGATCCTCCAATAATATTTAATTTGCATCTTAGAATTCACCACCAAAATATTTGAGATTGTAATATTATTATTTAATTATTTACTTAATTTTTATATTCGGGTTCTCACAACAACCGTCTAATTTGAAGGCCCAACTCTTTCATCGCTGGGGTGGCATTCTATCCTGTGATTGCGTTCAACACCAGATTGACATAGACATGTAATTTCTCTCCCTTTCTCCTAGTGATTTTTTTCTGCACTCCTTTGCCTAATGTTGGTCCTCGTAGACGAGTTGACCTCATTTGCCCTGGTACAAAAGGGGAAGGAAGTCACAAATTACAAACATTGCTAATGAACTTCAAAAAAAAAAGTGCTGGTTGTGGGTCTCGTTAGTTTTTCTGTTGCCTAGTGTTGCTGCCAGCTACTGTTTGGCTGCATAAAGTCAAACATAAATTATGCTACAACTTGGATTTCGAAGCCATCAATGCAGCTGGGGCAACATTCAATTGGCTGTTGCTGCTATTGTAGCTGATTTCAAGGTTGTTTAGCTAATATTTTATTTGTTGTGGAAGTGTCCTTGTTATGTGCAAAGTAACCTTTTTTTTTTCTTTGTTTCTCTTTGTCTTTATGGGGTTTTCATTGCCTTACTTGATGACTTATGCACCCAAATAGTAAAAACAAACCAAAATTTTTAGCTTACAACTAAGTTCAATGCTCTTACCCACTCCACTTGGCTGCGTCTTGTCCACCACTGTTTATGTATCATCTGGTGGTTGCGTCTAATCAGAGAATGTCAACGGCGTGCCAATCTCCTGTGGACATCCTTCAGAAGCTGATAATACATTGCCGCTTGTTGCTCTCTTCCGCCGCCCCATCTTGATTCCAGGAACCATGGTACCTACATTACGTAACAAACATACATGAATAATTGTTCCTGACAGATCTTTTGCATTACAAAAAGTCTACTTGCACATAAATAAAATACATAAAGGTTCCTAGATGAGAGACCCCCTCTTGTCTCCGTTCCACGAAACTGTCTGTGTTTTAATCATCTTTAGAATTAATGTGCTTAATTATCATTGATTCCAGGAACTATGTTTGTAAATGGTGCAGGTACATGGGAGTTAGGATACTAAGTGAGAGGCTTGCAAGTGAGGAATCAAAGTGATAATATCTCACTATTCAAGATTGTTATCAGACAATTTGATTTATCATTTACATAGAAAATTTTATTAATGTAGTTGATGGGTTTCTATTTTATTGTTCATGTCATATATTAGGTGGATTTCAAGTGACAAATTATTTGGGGTGAGAACACTATGTGGGTGTGGATCGCATTATTTTCACCAATTATATGAATTTTTTGTTTGTATAGTATTCTGTTTTTTCTTTTTTTCTTTTTTACCATTTCTCTCTATTTTTAAAATTTTGTTTTATGTATAGTATTCTTTGGTATTTTTCCTTGACTAAAAATCCTAAGATGACCTTACAGAAAAGAAAATAACGAAACTTGTTACCATTGATTTGTATCTTAGAATTCAAACCCATAATTTTTCTCAATCAGAAATGAACCAAAAAATCATTTTTAGCAATACCACTTCCTCCTACAGTATACACCAGCTAACCTCTGAACACCTATTTGCAGCCTCCAATCATCCTCATACACCAAACAGACTCCAAAACCACATAGCAGACCAGCAACCAACCAGCAGCATACCCAACAGGCTCCTACACATCAGCCTCAAACCATCAAGAAACAGGACAAAATCCATAGCAGCAGCAACAACCACCAATTAGGGGAGCAAAACACAAAACAACCACAATCAAAAGATCAAAACAGGTTTTAATCCTATCAAGAGCATTGCTTTCATCCAGACCAGCAACACAGATTAGCACACTAGATTCTTGCAGGTTATCTACCAAGACCATGGCATAATACTATTGCTGCTCAACCTCTCACACAGATCATCCCACTACAAATTCTGTGGCAGCATAACTTCATGATTTTGCAACTTGAGCAAGTTATCCATAACTCAGACTTCAGCTTCTATTGCTGTAGCAACCTGACATATGGAATTCTCTAGGATCCCAAACACATAGGAGGCCACCTGATGACCCTTGTGAACCTGAGCATACAATCCAGCATCAACCAGCAGTAGTAGCAACAGACCAATGACCCTCTGCAGCAATACACCAGGGACCACACCGTTTACCCTTTTACCATGAACTCCACCCAACATCACTTCCAATTAACAAACCAACAATCCTGAAATAGAGATCCAGTTGATGGTACCAAACAATTATTCTACATTGATGTCAAAACTCAACATATGAGCATTAGTTCTCTTATTTTATTAGGGTTGCTAGACCATAAATAAGAAGCTTTGGCATTTTATTAGGAAGGCTTCATTTCCCAAGTGAATGGCTAATATATAATACAAGCCAAAAAAAAAAAACACAGTACTTGAATATATATAAAGTTACTTTGCTAGAAAAGGTAAAGTTTGGGCTAAGAATCACTATGTTGACTATGGTTACATCAGAGGTCTCCGATAATAATATAATATTTCTAAAATGCAGCATAGGACCATTTCTGTCAAATTATTAGCTCACATCAGTTTCAACAATTCTTTGCCCAAAAACAGATACCATCATACCATAGATAGAATACTACAAAATTTTCAAAACAAATTTCAATATGATAGTACCTAACCCATCTTTGAGGTTACTAGCTACAGAAATTAGGAACATGATCTACAAACTTTTCATCTATGCATATGGCAGAGCAAAAAAAAAAAAAAAAAAAAAAAAAAAAAAAAAAAAAAAAGAGCTCGAAATCTGTCAAATGAAAAACGTACCAATGGGCATATATTATATTTCCATATATGATCGCATTCAATGTTGAATGTTTCTCTTTTGCCTCCTTAAACCATTGATCTGCAGCACTGTTAGAACAACAAGACATAACTATTAGATCTCAAATATACATGATAGTCCATCTAGCCATTTGTACAACGTGACAAATATCCATACATTATGTCTAAAAAAGACTCATTGCTAGAGAGACAGTATTTAAGGCTCAGTCAGAGACGCCAAACTTCAAGGTTTCAAGTCCTACGCCAAACAAGAAGCTTGCTCGAAAAGTAGTAAGTGTCTGTCAGTTATGAATCCTTCAAGAGCTTTAAATTCTGATCAAATTTGTCATACTTCATTTGCAGTTTTTTAGGTTCTAAAGCAAGAAAACAACCTCTAGTCCCATTACTGAGCAACCCATCAGGAACTATTCATGCTAAGGTAGCAAGTCATTGCAACATGGTAATGTTTCACTACTATTTAAAGTGAGTCAAGTTCCATAAAATTCCAAAACTTGATAAACTTAATTCCAGTATAAGAATAAAATTTTTCCCTAAATCAACTATCAAAAATTACAATCCAAAATTTCAATAGTGGTGTGCGTCAAAAAAATGACTTCTCAAAATGGGAGTGTTCTCAGCATAAACAAAACCAGCAGCAAATGTGAGTGTTCTCATGGCTTTGTTTACTTCAAAAACCAAAGACCCCATAGACCTATTAAACTCCACCTAGCAACCATCACCAACATCAACCAAAACATCAACAATAAACAAAGCATAAACAGCCCACACCCACCCCACCCGCAACAGCAAAACCAACTGAGCAGAGCAAAGACAAACGCAGCAAAACAGAGCACACAAGCAAAGGTTATTCAAATCCTTTACATTACTCTGAAAACAGAAAACAGGGCAGGAGCATGTTGATATAATTACATTTTACAACGAAATATTTGTTCCTGCTGTAAACCCAGTACTGCTGGAGCTTGCCCCTTTTGGAACAGCTTCAAAAAACCAAAATTCAGAAACTAACAATGGCACTGATGGTATGCGCATACCCTTTAAATTCATTGCTCTCTTTAACTATGTAGTTAATTTTGTCACATGTTCATTGATTCATTGTCAGTATGTATTTACAATTTTGTAAATCATTTTGGTTTCTATTCCCTACGATCCACATCAAGGTTTTCCATTCACATATTTTAAAAATTCAATTTTTTTGCTTGCAATTCTTTGTAATATGTTTGCAACGTCTTTCGATAATTTTAGTTCATGACAGTATATTGTTAACCCGTGCTGAAGGGAGAAGAAAATTTGTTAACTGATAATCCTGGGGACTTAGCTACAATTTGTATTTTGAATTTTATTCAGAGAACCCTTGTACGCAAATGATTCATGGCACAGGAAGTATATGTTCAATACATTTATGTAAGGGCATTGTTGGGTAATCAACAAGATGTGGTTTTGGATGTGTGGTAGTTCACAGGATCCTAAGGCAAATTGTTTGTGGTTCTCTCTCAAACTATTTCTGCCTACATTATTAAAATTTGGAAATTCCAGATTTTGGACTCCCGCTCGAGCGGGGTAAGCGGCGCTCGAGCGGGAAATTCGTGTATCCAGCACTTTTGTTATGTTTATAGTCTGCTCGAGCGGGGTTTTGCACGCTTGAGCGAGGACTTGTGTCACACGCTCGAGCGGGTGTCGAGCGCCCATTGAGCGTGATTTTCACACATCCAGTACTTTTGAGGTCCGCTCGAGCGGGAAAGTTTACGCTCAAGCGGAGCCTTTTGTTTGCATGTATGCTTAAGCGGGACCTCTGTTTTCTGAAAATTCTGAAAATATTTTTAAAGTGCATCTTTGCATCCTCATTCCATCCTAGGCATTCCTAGGCCTAGTTTAAGGCATCTTAATGAGGATATTAATGTAAAACCACACCGAGACAAATTAGAGATTAAGTTATTATTTTCCCAACTGTGTAGGGTTGGCATCTGAGGACGCGTACTAGCTTATCTGTAGCCCAGAACTCTGTGAGTAACAATGTTGTAAAGATATGTTCAATAATGATTATCTTCTGAACAATTGAACTATACTGTTTTCTGAAATGATACTGTTACTGAATGAATGATGTCCTATTTGTGAACTGTATTCGTGGCATCCATAGCAATCTACTGTTACTGTACTATACTACTACTGTCATAGAGATCTCTGTCGGTTCCCATGTTGGAACCACTATTGTTTACTAATATGATGGCCATCAACTGACTGTTCGGTCTGATAAGACCTACTGTACTATTTTGATATTGGATGTACCACATATGACTATTATAGTTTTTGAATGACTGTTATGGCCCGAAATATGAGCCACAAACTGAATGACTGATATACTATTTAAATGACTGTTTTCAATATTGAAAGGACATTCATTCTTAACCTCTTTACGCATATGTTATTCACTAGGCTTTAGCTCACTGCTCATATATACATGTAGGTGTACAGGCACTGGACCGTTGCTAGAAGCGTCAGGGTAAACTCCAGTTTTGTCAAGCCAACCAACGTGCCTCACTGAGAGGTTCCAAGTCCTTCAAGCTAGGGCTTTTGGGGTGTTTTAGTTTTCCCCCTATTTGTTTATGTTCTGTATAGACTGAATGATGTTGTACTGTACTGTTCTAATAGGGATTAAGTCCTTGTCCTGAATGATTGTATATATTGTACATACTGTTTTGGTACTGATTGTATATATACATATGAAAAGTCTTATTGCATACAGACTACCACAGCTCATTGGACATCTTTTAATTATTGTTTTGGCTTCCGCCAGCCCCTGTACTCCGTATTACTGTATTACTGTTAAGCAGGCCTTCGGTAATCTTGGATTACTAGCCGGTTATGGTGCTAAACCCATAGGGGTGGGTCTGGGTCGTGACAGAGTGGTATCAGAGCGGTATCAGAGCGATACTTAACCACGAGATATACCGCACACACGTGTCCAAATGAGCTATAGGGTGTCCAAATGAGCTATAGGATGTCCTAGAAAAGTAAATAGGGCATTGCATGAGCATGAAAAATGTGTGTGGCCATGACATGAATATCTGTGCTAATGTGCTAATGTGTTTAAGTATGCAACTGCCTATGTTTATTATTGCTATAATTGTCTATAGTGAAATGGATAATGCAAGAACTACTGATGAAACTGAATCATCAGAGGCCAGAATGGCAAGGCTCGAAAGAATAGTGGAAATGTTGACTGAGGCCTTAAGGCTGCAACAACAGAACCAACAGCCCCCACCTCCTCCGGTACAGCCGGAACAGAATGTTAATGAGGACATCATTGCTCTAACACAGAAGTTCAGTAAGATGAAACCACCATCCTTTCAGGGAGGCCTTGAACCCTTAAAGGCCGAAGCATGGGTGCTTGAAACAAAAAAGTTATTCAAAGTTTTTCCGTGCTCTGAAGCACACAAAGTGCTACTGGCTACCTTCACCTTACAAGAAGAGGCCAGAAGGTGGTGGATGCTGGTTCGTGACACAAATACTGCTATGGATTGGGCTCAGTTCAAGGGAGCCTTCTTTGAAAAATATTTCCCACAGTGTGACAGGGACAGAAAGGTGACTGAATTTGAACAACTGAAACAAGGTACCATGTCCGTGGTTGAGTATGAGTCAAAGTTTACCGAACTCGCCAGATATGCACCGCACATGGTTGACACTGACTACAAAAAGGCCAGGAAGTTTGAAGGCGGCCTTAATGTGGAAATACTGGACAGAATCAATGTTCTGAAACTACTGAAATATGTGGATGTTCTTGACCGAGCAATAATGGCTGAGTCGAACATTGAAGCATTGAAACAGACTGAAACACCAGCGTCTGAATGGCGTGGTAAAAGACGAGGCTTCAAGTTCAAGAAGGGCAGAAATAATTCATCGAACAAAAAGCAGAATACAGACCATAAGGGGGTTTGTTATAAATTATCTGGTGCTTGTTACAGGTGTGGCAAGGTGGGCCACATGGTCAAAGATTGCCCTTCTGCTCCCCAAGGCAATAGCAAAGCTGCACCAAGCACAGCAGCATCAACTGCTCCACCAAAACCCAACCCTAAAGCGATTGGAAAAGAGCCTATAAGGTAATGCCAAGTGTTCGCACTCGTACCGGGAGATGTACAAAATACCGAGACCGTTGTGTCAGGTATACTCTCAATTTGTGCGCAAAATGCATATGTTTTGATTGATTCGGGGTCTACACATTCATATGTATCACATGTTTTTCGCGAAAATTGAATAGACCATTGGAACCCATGAACTATCTA